AAAAAATATTCATGTTGACGGGCATAATCATTCCCTAAGTTATTAAGTACTATTTTGTTACACCTTTAGTTAGTATATAAGACCGGGGAAAAAGTTTATTCGTATATTGTATACAAATTCAAGACGTTTTTGTTTTAAAGTTTTATTACATTTTATTATAATATATATGGGTCCATTCTCTTCGATAATTTGTTACCATCTTGTAGGTAGTGACATAATAAAAAATAAACGTTCCTGTAGAAATCTTGGAATTTTAATTAAAAAAAATGCGACAAGTAGTTTTATTTGATATATTCAATACCAGAGATTTAAAGGAACATGGATTTAGTCATCCCATTTATAATAGAAAAAAATTATAAACTTAAATATTAAAACCTCCAGAAGGCTTTCTTTTAAAGAACACAAGCAACAAAAGAAAATAATGACTAAAACTTTTAAACTAGTTTTAAGTGCTCAAGCATATACTGGATTTTTAGGAATGTTAGTGTGTATTGAAAGTCTCAAACAGATAACTAATCTTATGATCTGGCGTTATCATCATGAGAGACCACTCCTTTTCTGATTATCAATGCCAGCCGTTTTTTTTTTCTATTTCTTGATTGTCTCATTATTTATTGGTAGTAGAGATCCGAATCGATGGTTTTACCCGGCGGTAAAAGCTCATGATAAGCTTTCAATCCCACCATACACACAGCATCATTTTATTACGTGTTATTCTAGGTTTCGCTTTAGTCTGTAAACAAAACACATATCAATACAGAAAAAAATCACGTTTCTTGTATGGTTTTCATACAAGAAACGTGATTTTTTGGGTCCTTTAATATTTTACTGTTTTCTTTTTTATTTTATGTTGTTATAGCAGCAATATAAATACACATTCTGTGAAAATTCTAAATATTACGGTTCATTAGATACAGCCTACTGACAGACAGACGGAACGATAGTGGTGACTTGGGTCCCGTTGATACTCTTTGAATACGGAACCCTAATCAACGGCAATTATGTCATTTGAGCAATACTACAGAAATAAACATTAAATAATATAGAATTAGGTTATATTATAATAAGTTAAATATATTATATTATAAAATATAGTAACAATAAATTCACATATAAAAATCTCAGCCACGGGCAACTTTATTTTTGCATTCGCGGCAGCACTGAATAGCGTCATTGATATTTTGTGACTTATTTATGGCTCGTGTTATTTTAAGTTAAAATTTCGAAATTGTATGTTAGTTAATGATAGTATGTGATTCCAGTGTCTTTCTTATTTCTTGTAGTATTCTTTTTACACAGTTTCAATACGTAAACTGGTATTTTACTTCGGATTATGATCAAAATATAATAAAACATTCGGTACGTTCACCTCACACGTTGCCTGCAACGCGACTGGCTCGGGTACGCCGATTTCGGCGTAGTATTTGTTGCCGAATTTAACATGAGCGCCGGCGGTATCTAGTCAGAGCGTGCGATGACTTATCATTAATCTATGGACCAACTCATACTAAACTTTGTTTTTACTTCCTTCTTTTTACTATGGATTATCAACTGAGTTGAAACATAGATTATAAATACGAGAAACTGAGCTAGGGAGTTAGAGGCTCTGAATTATCCGTTCGCCTAGAGATATAGATATTTATAAGAGTGAATCTGCTGATCCGGAATATATGTATAAAAAAAAGTTTTGTCGGGAACTTGACCGGCGGCGGATTGCTACTCCTGTATTATTGTTTAAATAAATAATATTATACATATTATTTAATAATGTGATTAGTTTAGATTAGTAGAAACGGTGAAACATGTGCTCTGATGGTGATGTGATTCTCAAGATAAGGTGTCTGTCTGCTTGAGCGCCTTGAGATGCTATCACCAACTGTCAGCTGTCTGCTGGCTCAAGTTGCCGTCAAAATCTCCCAAGGGCTGCACAATGTGACGCATCAACATATTGTGAAGCAGTGTACTATGAAGGATAATATTATATTATACATTGTAACTTCAAGCTCAGTAGGGCTAGAAGCCAGAGCCGTAAAGCCAGTTATTAAAAAAAGCTAAAAAAAAGCGTGTTAAAAGCAAGTTTACCTGATTACCAATTCCAATTCCTATATAGAATAGTTACTATACTCTTTGCTGATTACTATGGAGTGTAGAGTAGAAGGAGGACCATCTCTATATATGAAAAGTGTCCCTAAAAACGCGTCCAATAAAGGTGGCGCTGCACTAGCATAGGATAAATTTAAAAAAAGCGCCAAATTTAATTAGAATAAGATGGAGAAATAAACAAGGAACGACCAATCCGCTTGGTTGTGTACTACGTAAATAGTTGAAGTTTTGTATACTGGCATTTTACTAACTACTCTAGTCATAAATTTTTTTAAATATTTGAATTCAACTGACTTCACTCCGTCTACAACAGCTATATTCATATCGTAGTTTTTCAGACGCCAGCCCTATTGTGGTAGGTTTTGGAATCTCTATTTTCAGTATATAATGGGACACTTTTTCAACTTTCGCACCTTATAAGATGGTTCTCTTTCTACTCTACACTCCATACTGATTATCTAAGAGTTCTTAAATTAAGAAAAAAGTAATTACGTGAAGTTTAGGTATATTTAATAATACTAAATACGTGTCATCTATCGACAGCGTGTTAAACTTCTATTGCATAAAGAATCGAATGTTATCGTAAAATTTGTTGATATCGACATACCTCAATAGGTGGCGTTAGTAACATTTCTACTAAAATAATACGCCACGAAAAAATGTTTATAAATGTAAATATTGTAATGTAGAAATGCTCTTTAAAGGCTTAAAAATAAAACTCCATTCAATTAAATGCTTACCTTTCAAGCGCCTACCTCATCAGCCCGTAAAATTCCCCGAAAAAAAATAATAAAGAATTCAGCACGAGGGTATTCTTTTGTGTATATACATACACTAAAAACTGTATGACCATCACGGAATATAAAAAATGAGTTTTGTGTTTTTTAAATTCGGTGGTGACCATCTGCGTAAAAAATACGTTCACATTAGTTTCAACTAGCGACATCTATTGAGCGTAATATTATTAGCCCTCGTTTCACAATCTCTAATTTCTTTGTAAATTTATTATATTATCCTTGTTTTGTTTTAAAATGTTGTTAAATCCAATATCAGAAAACTTTTATAAATTGATGGTGAGCCAAATTAAGAGTACCCAGCGACGAGTTGTGTCAGTGTCAAGATCATACCAAATAGAAGTCCATAGTAGCCTACACCTTTGGTAGACAGTGTTTATGTTATGTTATTCTATGATAAAATAGCGATCTGCCCCGGCATCACAGACCCCCCACCCCAGCCTGCAAAATAACGATATTTGTAATAAAAAAAATACTAGTCGACGTATTTTTAATAGCACATTACGATTATACTTGTATTTGTAATTGCACTCTCCAGTTTTTTATAAAAAATCAAAAAGTAAATTCGTCGGCATCACACGGGTGATTTCTGCATCTCGACAACAGCGCCATCTACCAAGTCCCATTATGAATCTTAACCACCAAACCATTCAAACGCAGTTTCATTAAATTCGGTCAAACCATTCAGGAGTTCAGTGACAAACATATGTACAGTAAAATTATATATATAAAAGATAATTTAGCTCTACAAGTCTACTGCTAAACGAAGGTCATAGTATATAATAAAATATATAAGGCTTTAATTAAAAATTGTTTTATTTATTTTGCCTGAAGCAACGCAGTGGTAAAGCATTCAGCTTTGCACTGTGGGGATCAGGTTCTAATACTATAACAAAACAAGCGTTTGTTTAGCCTACAAATTATTGTTTCAGATACAGGAGAAAATCATTGCATGTGGTGTTAAAAACAAACATTAATAATTTGTTAAAGAATGATTAATGTTTGTTTGGCACCAATGAATGAAATGAAACTGATTTACCTGCATGTCTGAGAAATAAGAAAAAAAAATATTTCCAAGTACATGTGAACTTCGCCAACATGCATTCAGGCAGTGTGGTGGACATTTCCTTGCCCTAAAACCTTCACAGAAATAAGAAAATGCCTGTGCCTAGCAGTGGGACGTATATAGGCCGTAGCTTCAATGAATTAATAATCATCATCATCATTACAGCCCTTCACAAGTCCACTGCTGAACATAGGCCTCCCCCAAGGAATGCCACAAAGCACGGTCTATCTGGGGTCCATAAATTAATGTCATTGCTCATGGGGGGTATATTGCCGTAGTTGCCACGCTTGGCGAGCGGGTTGGCAACCGCAGTTTTTTTATTGTTGGTTTTCTGTTATCAGAAAGATGCTGCTGCCCATCCTCTGCCTCAGTTTCCCTCTGTCACCTCTTACGACACCCACGGGAAGATATGGGGTAGTGAGTATTCTTATCCGCCTCTACACGGGGTATTACATTAATTCATTTTTATACTTGGTAGAGCCATGTTGCAGCTATATTAGTAGTATAGTTGTAGCACGAATGGATCGGCTCGACCGGGGAAGGACCATGCTCTCACAGAATACCAGCGTAAAATAGCAGCTTAACACTGCTGTGTTTTGTATGGTGAGTGTAGAGAACCGGAGACCCTTTTTACTGGAAATGAGGCATTCCATTTTAATCCTCACGGGTGACAATGCATCTGCATTTTGATTTGTAATAGAGGATAGATGTAGATGTTTATGGGCCGCAGGCACCACTTACCATCAGGTGAACTGTGCTCGTTTGTCACCCTTATCCTATAAAAAAAAATTAATACATTACATTAATTAATTAATTGATATGATATGAAAAAACAGTTCATACAATTATTATCATTACTTTAGATAATAAAAAAACCAAAACTTAGTCTAGTAAGAGCATATCATGACCATTAATTGTTGTGATATGTGAATATTAAAATTTAAATAATTAGGAAAAAATAATAACTTAGAAAATTATAATAAAACATTTATTATTTACAAAAGAAACATTGAATTCACAAAAAGCTTACATAACTTCTATCCAACCATAGTTCTTTTCCGACCTCTAGCACGTACTTCATCAAATTTGCTTATAATTTCTTTAATATTCTTCGTACTGAAATTCTTGTATGAATTCAAAATTGTTTCAAATAAATCGGGAAAGTTATTATGAGTACTTATTAGTGCCCTTTCTAATACATATAAATCAACGCCTTTATCCTCTGTACTTGTATCTATAAATGATAGTCCAAAATCGATCATTACTAATTCTAAGTTATCATAGTGAAACCATTTAGTGTCGTCCTGTACATTACTCGGGAGTTTTTCAACCAGTAACATGTTTGAAGTTGTTAAATCACCATGTATAATGTTATTCTCATGCATTTTCCGAACCGTTTCACCAATTTGCTTTGCAACAAAATTTAAGGCCTTGTCAATTTCTTTTTCATTTTTTGCAACAACATTTATTATAAAGTCCTTCACTGTAATACTGTTTTCAAAATGCTGCATATAAATGCGACGTCTTTCAAAGTCTACCAAGTATAATGCTGGTGTTTTCACACCAGCGATTTTACATCGAACAATTAACCGTGCTTCGTTTTTAATTCTTTCTTTTGTTATACTTACATCTAAATCAATGTGCCGGTAATGTTTCTTAAATCTTTCCTTAATCAAAGTAGGTTTTCCTAAATAATTACATATGAACAACTTTGCTTCTGCCCCCTGTTTTAATATATTTAATCCTTCACACATTTTAATAAAAAAAAATATTGTCAATCACTAATTGTAAACTATGATTTTAGTCCTCTAAGTTATTGCAGAAAAATGTGATTTGCAAAGCGAAAATAAATAATCACTGTTGTCTTGGACAATAATTTTTCCAACATAATTGTATATAGAAATATTCAGAGTTCATGTATTCCTTTTACTGGGTATGTTCAGAAATACTCTATATTCAATAAATTACTTTAACTTTGATATCAAAGTACATAAAAACCCATGAAAATTAATATTTTCTCAGTAACCCAATGTCGAATCGAATGTAGTCGTATCGAATGACAGTGACACGTGCACGTGCATGCTACATGCATCTGTCAAAGTGTCAATGCCCTTGTTAATTAACGTTTCGTTACATGTAATATTTTGCTATAGGTATATTTAAAAAATACATTTCTAAGATTTCTTAATTCATATTATTTATATCAATTATATTTAAATAAATAATTTATTTTATTTAATTAAATATTAATAATTTAGTTGAGTTACTAAATGCTAAGCGATTGCCTTGTGCTCGCAATACACTGTCTCCCTTCCTTGTCTTCGTTGTTATTAATACTCTATTATCCAATAACTATTTTCCAATTATTCAACTCCAAACGTTCGTTCGAACTATAAAACTGATATTAGTGTATATGACCCATAACATTAATTTATCGTAGGTTGGAATGTATGAGGTCGTTTGTCACCTCAATGTACTTGTAAAAACAGGGACAGGGAAGCTTCTGATTCAGTATCAGATAATAAATTAAGTGTTTAAAATTTGGATTGCTGCATATTAGAGTTGCTCGAATACTTTTAAATTTAAGACCACTAAGCTACCAAGCTCCTTGTATGAAAACATCCTAAGAAAACATGCGTGTTTGAAAAATGGAAACAAAGGACATGGAGTTCGTCGATCACTTCCCTGCTTTTTAATATTCTTAAAAAAGAAAGGAGAACTATGTTCATTAGTAACATGAATAAAGGCCGTTATATGAAATAACGGCCTTAAAATAAAGATAAAATAGATAAAGTACTAAAATATGGTAGATAATTCATCATCATCATTTAATAAATCATTTAAAATATAATATTACATATGTAAAATTATATTTTAAATGAGTATAATATATATTTATTATAATATTTATTATATATCAGCTATACAGGAAAGTTTGATTAAAGCACCAACCCCTTACAACCATTTATGACCCAAGCGCTGCTCAGCATCTAGTGGTTATACTATCTGATTACTCTACAGCTCAGCGAAGCTCATTGACTCGTGTTAAAAACCTAACCTGAGCAAATATTTTTAAAGTTAAAGAAGTTACAGCCTATATAGGTCCCACTGCTGGACACAGGCCCCCCCGCATTTCTGAGAGGGTTTTAAGGTAAGGAAGTGTCGGCCGCGCCGCGCCCTTGCGTGTTAGCGAACTTCACATGTCTTCAATTTTTTTTCTTATTGCTCAGACATGCAGGTTTCCTCACGATATTTTCCTTCACCGCCGAGCACGTGGTAAATCACCACTTAAAATTGCAATTAAAATGTTTATTGGTGCTGGCTGGGATCGAACCCGGCTTGATCACGTACTGTGAAATTTACAGCGAGCACTAACCTTATGAGTAACCACAGGTCATAATAAAGCAAATAGTTTAGTCAAAATAAAAATGATTATATCTGATATATATCTTCTATGTTCAAGGCTACATAATACATGGACGAAATCAGTCGGAGAAGCTTTATAATAATCTTAAAACACTTTATCAACATCAAAGTTTTTACTATCATAAATATGTATTTTAAATACTAAATTAGGTCCACTTAGTGTTAAAATATACAGCAATTTATATTTAGCTAAATCGTTTACTTTACATAAAAATGCGTGAAACGGAATCTGAAAATGAAAACAAATCGAAATTGACATATAAGAACCGCACCTTATATTCACCACTCAACCACTCGTAGGTATCCTAAAACCATAATATCTACTATATGATATACATATGCATATATATTATGCCGGTTTCTGTATCTGTACGTATCCACTCGTCGGAGAGCAAGGGAGGCTGTGTGGGCGTGTGGTATTGGTTGTTGCACCCGTGCCGGCCGGCGGCACAACTTTGTATTAAACACTCGAACGCTTAATTCAACCAAATACTTTAATGGAGACAGTGATTTACAGAAACTATTGACCTTTTAGTGTTATCGCGACGTTCGAACACCGCGCTGTCTCTTAAATTCCAAAACCGAAACGTGTGCATTTATTTTATTGACAAATAAATAAATACGAACATCTTTTTCCTTAAGTGTCAGTGTTTTAATTTTTTTTGTGAGAATGTCTGTAGAAGGATTGGAGTATGAGACCATCGTGCAGAATGGGCCTAAAAAAGTAAGTCCTAATTTAAACGAAATTAATCATGATACCGCGTATTATTTTTATTTAGTACACAAATAATAAATAATATTTATAATTTCCTGTAATGAGTATAATTAATATAATAATACAAAAATAAAATAAAGACAATACATAATTATGGAGTGCGCTTTGATAAATACAGTCAGTAAAAATGTCAAGCAAAAAAGAATGTGGATACTTAAACTTGCCTGCACCTATATTGATACGTACTCGTAAAGGAGGGTGAGGCAGCGTCATATAGAAATGTCTGGGTGCATTTTCGTAGATATACCATCCAGGCGCGCCACTGAACATCGGGTAATGTATTTTCTGTCTGGATTTAATTCAGAATCCTATATATAAATACAGTTTTATGTAAGAACTTAAATTTTAATTGCTCAAATTTTATATTGTCTGAAACAGATATTAGGTACTAGAAAATAATATATAAAAAATGGGTATTGAATATAACATACTAAAATTAACTTATAATATAAAGCTGATTTCAAAGAATTAAAAAAAAACCATTACAGTCTGAAGAACAAAAATCTCGACATTCGATGTACTCGTACAAGTGGTCAAATAAAAAAAAATTGTACAACCGACATCAATATAAATAAAATAATGACTTTCAATAAGTATTATGCAATAATCCATATTGAATAAAAATCATTCTATTCTATTCTATTCTAAAAAATAAAATGAGAACATGGTCAATGTAGTCGAAGTCAATTAAATATAACTTATTATTAATATTAAGGATAACTCAAAAACTACTGGTCAGACCTTGATCAAATTTATATGGGACCACAGGAGAAGCACCAGCTTTCAAATAAATAAAGAATCATCAAAATTGGTTAACGTAGAAAAAAGTTCTGAGGTAACGCACATAAAAATATATATTCGAATTGAGAATCTCCTCCTTTTTTTGAAGTCGGTTAAAACTGATTTTACACTTTTTAGGTTTTGAAGTCGGCTTTTACTTTTTATTAAAAGTTATTTTTTTTTACAATTTTGAATGGACTAAGTAATATCACAACCTCAGTGTGATCTAAATAGTTACATTAAAAACTTCATTCCCTATTCAGACCCCTTAGAAGTGAAATTTTCTCTCCACATTTACATATACATAATTGACGAAGATATTTATGATATTTGTATTACATACAAATAAAACACAATCGAAGTTTTAACCTCCTCTATTGAAGTCAAAACTATAATAGAAAAAAAAATCAGAACTTAAATATACAATTTAAATTATTGTTTTGCTGTATAAAAATCATTGAAGTTGTTCACGAGTATGTTTGTTTATCTTAGACAAATTTCCAACTTCGACCAAGAGGTCAATCGACGGATTCAAATCGGTTGCCCAGTGTTCGGGAGATTACGACACTTATCGTCCCGAGACCGACAATGCGTGTTGCATGTCATGATATATGGAACTAAGACGTGCTCCGTCATGGCAAGCCGTATAAGGAAGCTGCAGGGTTAGCCAAGATGACTTTCTATGATCGTTAACGCTATAGAAAACTATATAATGAATGGAAAGGACATAACGTGAACGATAAGTCACGTGATAGTCATCTGAATTTCATTCATTTTTAAAAACAAAAAGAAATAGTTTTCTACAACGTTCAAAACCTTAGAATACCATTTTGTCTAACCCCGATAGTCGCTTAGCGAGCTATGCTCGGAGTTTCTCTTCGCGACAGAAAACTGAAACTGAGCCTGCAACGATGATGTCAGCAGCAGAAGTAGAGTAACCGACATAGCCCAACGAGCAGTAAGATTAAGTAGCAATATGCGCGTCATATAACTCGAAGAACCGACAACCGATGGGGAAGAAAGGTTCTATAGTGTCAGCCTCGTAGAAAGGCCATCCTACTGGCCCTCCACTAAATAGAAAATATGCAAGCAGTCTATGGGTGTTGGTGGCATTACTTGAGGAAGCCCTGTGTTCAGCAGTGGACTTGTGAAGCGCTGTAATAATGATAATGGCAAGGAACGCCACAAGACACGGTACCAAGTCACCTGCATTCATTGACATCCTGCGTTTCTTATTTAAAATTATATTTTAAAGATAATTAATATTTGAGGAATAGATGACGTAATTATGGATAGATGTAGGTGTCTATGGTCCTCAGCATCCACTTAACATTAGGTGCACTGTGTGCTCATTTGTCACCCTTATTCTATAAAAAAAGATAAATAATATTTTTTCAAAAAAAAATATTTATACATAAATCATAGATAATTTTTAATTTTCAATGTTCAGAATACAAGATGCGATACAATTATCTATACATAAATACATAGTAACGCTACTCGTGCGTTTACAGTGCGTTAAAAGTACAGAATAACTAATGGTACGTAGGCACAGCCTAAGAAAAACATAAGTTAAACTGTGACGTAAGACTCCTTTTCCAATAGAAGCCCGTCTGGATAATTACCACCCTCTTATCTATTTTTGCCACCAAACAGATAACGACGCCTTTTGCCACGAAGAAAAAATAGTTGCAGATGTTCATAGACTGCAGTATCCACTTACCAACAGGTGGGCAGTAAGTTGGTATGTCACTTCAGTTCTATAAAAAAAAA